ATGTGGTACATGGTCACTCTGTAAAAAAAAAAAAAAAAAAAAAAAGGACGTCTTAAAATATCCAATTCCAGGGGGGGGGTTCAAAAAATTGTCGTTCTTCTGTTACACATGTGTATGTGCGCCCAAGCACATACAGACGTATTTTCGATAGTTTTCTGAAGTTATACGTATGCTCCAATATAAACACATACGAAAATGGGCGTAAGGAGATGTAGGTGGTTACATTCATATGCATACATATATGGTAATACATATGTGTAATACATATATGTACACATGGGCGTATGCATCCCTACCACCTCACATAGGCTAACTCACCTCCCCTTTTTGCAACAAGTCCTACTTTATCCACCTCAAAAAAAAAGAGTGTTCTTTTCCCAATTTTTTAATGATATTAAAACAATTCACAAATGAGAGCATATCAGTTTCTGTTAACCGTCATATGAAAAATGGGCAGGTGTGTACATATGCACACATGGGTAGATAAGCCTATATGCGCGCAGATATTCCTACATATGTGTAGATACTCTTATATGCGAGCATGGCACACCACTTAACACCACCTTACACAACGGACTGCCAAAAAAAGGAGAAAAAAAAAAGGTAATTTCGGGTTAACCTACTATTGTATATATGTTGTGTACATACCACGTGTATATACCATGTATATATACATGTTCAGGGCCCAATTTCTACAGTGGTGTTTTATTCTAAATGGAGTTTCATTTGAAGACAGTGCGTAGTTTTAATATGTGCAATAAGGCTTTGGATAAGGAACGATCCTGAATCTGCAAAGGGGAAGAGGGGATTGAAATATGAGAAGGGGAACAACGCTTCAGAGATGTACTCACAATGTGCACGTACACACATCGGACGTTTTCTTCTAATCACAAAGGGTTTCATTTAAAACAAAAGGTGCACATATCATGTGTATGGAAGGGCATAGGAGAAATGCTTTTACAAATAGTCGTCAATATATTGCGTATATCTGGCATTTTCACATGCGGAGCATTATATCTCTTGGGAGGGTCCGTGCCATTGGCATATATTCAACACGTGGCATCAATGTACGCCCCGCCTCCCTGCTTGTGAGCCAGATATCTTTATAGGAGGCGAAAAAACCTACATTTTGCAGTCCAGGAAGATGCGCATTTTCTTCCTCCTAGTTATTATGTGTATATAAACGAATGCGGGAGAAAGAACATGAAAAAAACGAAAAAAAAGAAAAAATAAATACGTAAAATAATTGGAAGAACTTCCGATTACTGGGCGATGCCTGAAACGAAAGCTTTTTTATTTTGTTTTGCTTTATTATGTGCTTTTTGTTTTTCTTTATTTTGCGCTTTTTATTTTGCTTTAATTTGCGCTTTATTTTTATTTATTTTATTTTTTTTTTTTTCAACTCTTCTGATAAACGCTTTGTTTAGGCAGAGCGTTTCATGCACGTTTTTGAAAAGGTTAACTTGACAAAGGCATTCGCCCTTAATGCATATTAAAATACTTATCAAAATAATATGCAATGAAGAAAATTGATGACGCCAAAAGTGGCCGAGCATAAAAGGAATGAATAGAGGAGGAATGATCACCGATTAGCAGGTCAGTAAAAAAACTCTTTTTAGTCAAAATGGAAAAAAAAAAATAATCCATCATTCAATCATTTGTTAATGGCTCCCTGGGGGCTCCAGCCACAAGTGCCAGGGTTTGTTACATATTGTAAAAAAAAAAAAATCTTCAAATGGAATTTAGCACATAAAGAAAAGAATAATATAATATTCATCTTTCCTCTTAGTATTTTAAGTACACCTTGGCTCAGAAGGTAAACATGAACACTTGGCTGGTATATGAAGAAAGGGCCCCTCCGCCGGTACGGTACAACACCCGCGAGTGCTCATACGCGCACGTATAGATGTCCATATATATACTTACTATATGTACACTTACTATATGTATATTTACGATATGTATACTTAACTATATGTATATTTACTATATGTATATTTACGATATGTATACTTAACTATATGTATGTTTACTATATGTATATTTACGATATGTATACTTAACTATATGTATATTTACTATATGTATATTTACGATATGTATATTTACGATATGTATATTTACTATAGGTATATACATACGCGCTACAATTATGTACTTCATTTCACGCGAAACGCATTTTTTTTATTCGTTTATAAACGAAACAGCTTGCAGTTTATCGAATAGAAAGTTGCGACTTCGCTCTTTATTTCCCCTTTCTTCACGAACAATTTAAAGAATGAAAGAGTGCCTGCGCTATGTATGCTTTGCAGGTTCACCAAAATTGATGAAGCGGTCCTTCCAATTTACGCCATAATTCTGCTTCATAAAAAGGAAGCTATCATGTTCCTCCCTTTTTTGTTGCCTCTGTTTATAGTGCTTTGAAAACTAAATTAGCCATTGTCGAAAAAGCACGAATGCTCCAAAAGATAGCCCTTCTTGTGAAATGAAAATTATGACTCGTTAACGGAAAAGTGGAAAAAAAAAAATAGAAATAAAATGCATAAAAA